TTCTTAAATTCCTCAGCGGTGTAAACAACAAGAAGAGAGCTGGCACTCACTTTGCATACATCTTCTTCTCTACAGTAATTGTGGTAGCAAGTTCCCCTTATTATATTTTCTCTTATGTATCAATCCAAGCAAACTAGATGGAGTCTTTAAGCTTATTAGCTACAAATTCTGACATTTAATTCTCACACATTGCCCTACTTTAAAATTCTAAAATAATGATACATCATTGCAACAACTTTGCTAGGCAGTGAAGAGCCTGTGTGTGCTTCCTCACCTCGTGTGGGGGCAGCGGCTCCAGTGTGGGAATGACATCACTCTCCTCAGACACCTCCTTCTCATCCTCTCCAAACAGGTTTTTGATTGCACGCTGTGCTGCCACTGCCGTGGCATCGTTATCGATGTCAAGATCGGGAGAGGTGTCCATGACCGCGTCGCTATCCTCAACGTCCTCTTTCACGCCCTCCTCCAGCATCACCCCGGTGTCCACCTTCACCACACGCATGTCCAGCACGCCATCAATCCATGCGAGCTCCGTGTCTTTGGCTTTGCAGAACTGCAGAGAGCTCACCAACGAGTCTTTCAACCGCACCTTTACCATTAGAAGACAAGACAGGATGAAGACACTGGCCTGTCATGGAAGGGCGCTTTTATGCATTAACAATGGTCACTGCTAAAGAAATCAAGTGTGTACCAATTAACCCCTTGGCTCACCTGATGGAGCACAGCAAAACATTACCTGATAAAGACGGATCTATATGGTATTTCCAATTCACAGCATAATATTTTAGATTTATGAATCTACAAAATACATGTAAGGGATAACGTAACATTTAATGTACAACTATTTTTTTATACCCACTTAACCAGAGGTAACAAAAGTTACTAATTTCAATGAGGCTGACCTGGTAGATGTGTGTCTCACTGGTGGCGTCAACAGTCTCCTGCAGTTTGGGCGTATAGACTTTGATGTCTTTGCTGAAAGCCTTGCAGGACTCGGCCAGGTCCAGGCTGGCTTCTGGTGACCCGTGAACGATCACCAGCTGTCTGGGCTTCATCTGGTTAATAATTTTCTTTATGGAGTCGCCATCAGAGCGCCCTTCATAGTCTATGTAAGCGACCCTCGCTCTGAAGAGGAATGAAGGCAGGATAAAGCCCTTTAACAATGCTGATTTGTCAAACACTGTTTAACACCAGCACAGAAAGAAAATGGCTGACTACACAAGCTTTTTCTACATCGCACTCATGCATTTATGCTCATTCACACCTGGAGACCATCCAAAGCAAAACAGCACTGCTGAACAGTTGGCCACAGACCAGCTGTAAGGGTGGTTTATGAAGAAAGGAGCCAACTGCACATTAAGAATTTTAACCTTCACATTTCTATTTACTAACTCAGTTCCAGTTTGAGATGATCACTGACCTAATTTCAAGGTTTTCCAAACTAGAGATGCATTTGGTAGGAACAACAGAAAGATCCTGGTCCATGGGCTCATCACCGTTGGTCAGCCCAGCTTCCAGTTTGCTTTTCTCCTCCTCTGTGGCCTGCAGTTCAGGAACCAGAAACTCTTCTAGCCTGTGAAATAAACGGTTTATTGATAATGGCAGAAAATGCACATGAGGGTAGGTTTTCTGTGTTCTGTAATCTCATGTGTAAATGTATCACTGTTTTAGTACCTGATGATTTCCCCATACTCA